GACAGCACCCAGGCCCAGATTTCAGGCACCACGACTGGACAAAAAAAAAAAAAAGAAATTTATGTTAGGAGTATGTAAGGCTGAGTATTGTGATGAACAGTCAACTTGAAAGTTAATAACTGGTAACAAGTGAGAGATTTATCTGGTAGAAAAAAAAAAGTATGTAAAACAAAACAAGGTGTATGTAAAAAAATTGTTTTTTAATACGTGTGGACAGTCAGTATTGTCTCTGTTCAGCTTGTGTTTACTTCACTGACAAAATCAAACCAGCATTCCCCATTGTGTAAATAAATGATTTTGCTGAATAAAGTCTTAAATTCAAAAAAAAAATTGTTTTTTACATTTTAAAAATTGTTTTCTCACTGGGCGCCGGTGGCTCATGCCTGTAATCCTAGCTACTCAGGAGGCTGAAATCTGAGGATCGTGGTTCAAAGCCAGCCCGGGCAGGAAAGTCTGTGAGACTCTTATCTCCAATAAACCACTAGAAAACCGGAAGTGGCGCTGTGGGTCAAGCGGTAGAGCGCTTGCCTTGAGCTGAAGAGCTGAGGGACAGTGCCCAGGCCCAGAGTTCAAGCCCCACGACCGACAAAAAAAAAATGTTTTCTCATAACTATCTCTTATTTTTCCTCAGAGACTCCTTCAGCCGAATGAGCCTTCGAAAAATGGATCTCTGAATGCACTTGTTTTGTCCATTTGAAAAGAGCCATGTATTCAACATTTGAGTATAAAAATAAGATCTATTGAAACGTCGGACTTGGATCTCAATTCTGGAAATAGCATTAATTTCTCATTGAAAAATGCCAAAATAATTTCAAATGTAGATTGTTAAAGTTTGAGAACCATGGCTATGGTTTTTAATATTCTGGTAACATGCTATGTTTTTTAAAGACATTTTAATGACTCAAAGGTACACTCTACATTTACCATTATTTATACCACAGCTAATGTTAAATTTATTTACTTTTACGTTCATATTTCTTAATTTATATTATCATTTATAGATTCATTTTGGAACCATTTTAAATGTAGTTATGTTTATTTTAAAGGTACTATTAAATGTGAATGTTTACACTAATTATGAGTGGTACTTTAGTATTTTTTATTGTAAAAGATAGAGAATAAGAATGTTTCAAAACTAGTAAAATGACCAAGTCATCTTATAGATCTTAAAGAAGTGTCTCAGATGTTAATGGCCAGACAGATAACTAAAATATTAAAGCTGATTTGCTATTTATATGCCAAAAAATATATAATTGTATAAATAACTGATAAAATATTTGGCTATAAAATAGCCAATACTAGTGACAGAAGTTGATTTTTATGAACTGGCCTTAATGTGAACTTCATGCTCTCAGCAATGACTAGTTCTCATTTCACTAGTATAATCCTAGCTACTCAGTGGGCTGAGCTCTGAGGATCATGCTAAGTCAGGCAGAAAAGCCCATGTGATTCTTTATCTCCCGTTAACCAGGAAAAAGCCAGAAGTGGAACTGTGTCTCAAAGGATAGAACACTAGCTTTGAGCAAAAAAATTAAAGAGTACAAAGTCCTGAGTTCAAACCCCAGTACAGCCCTCCCCTCCCCAAAAAAATACAACCACAACAAAAAAAAGTACCTTAGCAATCTGTTAAAAAGTTCAGTGGTGGGGCTGGGAAGGTGGCTCAGTGGTAGAGCTCTTGCCTTGCAGGCCTGAGACCCTGGGTTCGATTCCTCAGCACCATATAAGAAAAAAGAAAAAAGCTGGAAGTGGTGCTATGGCTCAAGTGGTAGAGCGCTAGCCTTGAGCTGAAGAGCTGAGGGACAGCGCCCAGGCCCAGAGTTCAGGCCCCATAACTGGACCCCCCCCAAAAAAAAAAAGTTCAGTGGTGGGGCTGGAAAGGTGGCTCAGTGGTAGAGTGTTTGCCTTGCATGTCTGAGGCCCTGGGTTTGATTCCTCAGCACCACATAAGCAAAGAAAAAAGCCAGAAGTGGCTCTATGGCTCAAGTGGTAGAGTGCTAGTCTTGAGCTGAAGAGCTGAGGGACTAGAGTTCAGGCCCCGTGACCGGACCCAAAAAAAAGTTCAGTGGCTCACATGTGTAACCTTAGCTACTCAGGAGGCTAAGATCTAAGGATCGCAGTTCAAAGCCAGCCCTGACAAGAAAGTCTGAGACCTTTCATCTTCAGGTAACCACCAGAAAACCAGAAGTGGCACTGTGGCTCAAAGTGGTAGAATGCTAGCTTTGAGTGAAAAAGCTCACAGACAGTGCACGGGCCCTGAGTTCAAGCCCCATGACCAAAAGGTGTCAGGGAAGGGAGAGCTATTTTACATTTACAGTGAAGGTAACACAGAACTAAAGTTTGATTTTAGTCTCAATTCAATGAAAAAGTCACTTTTGACACTTGCACAGATTTTACAGAATAAAGAATAAGAGTAAAATTAACATTAGCTTTGCATTCTAACTATGGATTTTTAATCTTTTGTACAAAATGACTTTGTTTATAAATACAATGCATCTTGATCCATTGTTCTCCCCTATTTCTTTCAACCTCAGCCACACTTACAACTGTGTGTAAAAAGTGTAACATGTTACTTGGTACATTTTTCCAAAACAGTATACTTATTTTTCCCCCATGTACTGTGGGGGTTTTATTTGCCGGTCGTGGGGCCTTGAAATCAGGGCCTAGGTGCTGTCCCTCAGCTCAAGACTAGTGCTCTAAGCCGGGCGCTGGTGGCTCATGCCTGTAATCCTAGCTACTCAGGAGGCTGAGATCTGAGGATCG